TACGGATATTCGGAGTTTAGGTTTAACCCTAAACCCTAAATTCAGTGCTAGCCCACCCTGACGCCCCAGGCGCCATTCCAGAATGTGAAATACTTTCCCTGAGGTCCAAACCCCTAAACCTTGCAGACCTATGCCCCTAAACGCACAACCCATACTCCCATACCCTCAATACTCAGTTGCACGGCCCAACCTGCAAAACTCTCACCCTCCCCACGATCCTAAAGCCCGATGCCCCAATTCCAAATCGGCTGAGGGTTTAGGGTCTTGAGTTTAGGGTTTAGGGTTTAGGGCGCAGTTTAGGGCTTGGGGTGTAGCTTTTCTACGTAGGGCTTGCGGCTGAGGTTTGAGGGTTTCCCCGCACCCCAAATGATTTTCCCTGCAACTTTCATCTGGCCAATCATTGTCCAGCCCTTAAACCCTAAACCCTAAACCCTAAACCCTTTTCAGGAGCTCGGAGTCCTGCACGAGGGCTTCAGCCCTGACAGCCGCATTTCAAAAGGCGGCACAAGGGGGAGTCACGAAACCCTGCACCCCTAAACCCTAAACCCTAAACCCTAAACCCGAAACCCTAAACCCCCAAATCCACGCAGGCGACCAGCGCATCAGCATGGTGCCGGACGTCGCCGAGCAGCTCATCAAGGACGGCTACGGAGCCCGGGTCCTGGAGGGGTTGAGGGGTTAAGGGGGTTTAGGGTTTAGGGTTCAGGGTTAGGGTTTAGGGTTTAGGGTCTAGGGTTAGGGTTTAGGGTTTAGGGTTTAGGGTTTAGGGTTTAGGGTTTAGGGTTTTAGGACTCAAAACCCTAAAGCAGATATTCGAGCCACTTTGGGCCCTATAGAACCTAAGGCTTACGGGCACAGGGCTTTAAGATGTCGATTTGTGTTCGAGTACAAGGGTCAAGGTTCTTAAATTGGGTTTAGGGTTTAGGGTTTAGGGTTTAGGGTTTAGGGTTTAGGGTTTAGGGTTTAGGGTTTGGGGTTTAGGGTTTAGGGTTATGGAGCCTGGGGCCAAGCAGGATGGAGAGGGTTTTGGTTCAGGGTTTCGGGGTTTCAGGCGCTTGGGTTCCGGGTTTTAGGGTTTAGGGATTTAGGGTTTGGGGTTTGGGGTTTGGGATTTAGGGTTGAGGATTAGGGTTTAGGGTTTAGGGTTTGGGGTTTAGGGTTTAGGGTTTAGGGTTTAGGGCTTAGGGCTGCGGGTGGGGGGTGGGGGGGTTGGAGGGTTTAGGGTTGAGAGGCCTCTTAGTGCCTCCCAAATCCGCACGAATCACTAAGCCGAAGCCCGAACCCTAAACCCTAAATCCTGTATATCTAACTATCTATATATATATATATATACGTATATATATATATATGCAGCTTACATATATATATATATGTATACATATACCTGTACACATACACATCTTGCATTTTTGAGAGATTTTTCAGCTTTTTTTGTTGGTGGGGGGGGGGGGTGCAACTTTGGGAGGCTTTGGGGACCCAAAAGGCTGGGCGATGCCTGGGGCTTTACGGCCTTAGAGGGGGGGTTCAAGGGCACCTAGAAACCCTCTAAGCGCCCCTCCTCCCCGTGTTAGGGTTTAGGGTTTAGGGTTTAGGGTGTAGGGTGTAGGGTGTAGGGTGTAGGGTTAAGGGTTTAGGGTTTAGTTTGGGGTTTAGGAGCTTAGGGACAGAAGACTCAGGATATAACCCGCCCCCTGAAACACCCCAAGCGCCCCTCAAACAAAAACAATCTCGAGAACGCCACTCCTGCCAGAAGTTGCCGTGGTCCCCATTGAGAAGGGTTTGCTTTAGGGATGAAGATGGTCTAGAAACCCGAAATGAGCAGCACCAGGAAGTTCCACTCCTGCCTCAGCCCTGCCCTCAACGGCCCCAAACCCCAAGCCCCATACCCCAAACCCCAAACCCCAAACCCCAAACCCCAAACCCCAAACCCAAACCCCAAACCCCAAACCCCAAACCCCAAACCCCAAACCCCAACCCCAAACCCCACACCCCCCAAACCCCAAACCCCAAACCCCAAACCCCAAACCCCAAACCCCAAACCCCAAACCCCAAACCCCAAACCCCACACCGCCAAACCCCAAACCCCAAACGCAAAACATCAGGTCATCGTGGAGAAGGGTGCTGGAGCGGTCGACTCAGAACCCCTTAAACCCTAAACCCTAAACCCTACACCCTAAACCCCAAACCCTAAACCCTAAACCCTAAACCCTATAAGGGCTTAGGCCCCCTAAGCCCTAAACTCCCCCTGCCTCCCCCCCCCCTCCCCCACCCCAAGCCGCTGCCACTGACCCAGTTCTTCCTTGCAGGTTGGTGAAAACTTCGGGTTGAGGGGGCAGTAGGGTTTGGTTAGAGCTTTGGCGTAGGGGTTCTTCTCAATAAGGGTCGAAGATTAAGGTTTAGAGTTTACTCGGCGCCTGGGCTGACCTATTGGCCGGGCGTTCGGGCCGTTGGGGAAGGGTTTAGGGTTTAGGGTTTAGGGTTTGGGGTTTAGGGTTTAGGGTTTGGGGTTTGGGGTTTAGGGTTTAGGGTTTAGGTTTCAGGGTTTAGGGTTTAGGGTTTAGGGTTAGGGTTTAGGGTTTAGGTTTTCGACGCCTTGGGGCGTTGATCTTCTTCTGAGCCTCTTGAAAGCCTCTTCCGCCCGCCTTGTGGGAGAGGTCGGACACGGGGTGAACATGCAGGTTGTTGAAACCCCAACACCCTTTAAACCCTTCAACCCCTAAACCCTAAATCCCAAGCCTTAAGCCCTAAGCCCTAAGCCCTAAACCCTAAACCCTAAACCCTAAACCCTATGGCCAATGGCCCTTATGCACGTCGCCTGTTCCGGATACTTTTTTGAATGAGCGGGGTCTTGGGGGCCTCTTGAGGCATTCTTCTGTTTCGGCTTTGGATCGTTTTGTCTATATTTGTTGTACTGTGCTACTGTGCTAGCTGTTTAGCCTTAGGTTCCATAGGGCCCAAAGTGGCTCGAATATCTGCTTTAGGGTTTTGGGTGTGGGCTTAGGCTTTGGGATAGGATTTCCCAGTTTGGGGATTCCGTCTACTGAAGGAAAGCCCGGAACCTGAAAATCCTTCCAACCAAGCAAGAGGGCGAACCGACATGAAGTAGGGCTTATATTCCTTGTATTGTATCCCCAAAAGGACACCCAGTACATACACTCACCAATATTAGAAAAGCACCTTATATACACTCACCAATAACAGCAATATAAACCCTGGTTCATATGCGCCCAGGTGTACTCTGGGTTCACTGACGAGGCGTGACGCTTGCGCACATCCGTGAGCAAGATGAAGCAAGATCACACTTTAGGGTAGGTGTGGTTTGGGGTTTGGGGTTTGGGGTTTGGGGTTTCCGGGTTTGGGGTTTGGGGTTTGGGGTTTGGGGTTTAGGGTTTAGGGTTTAGGGTTCGGGTTTAGGGTTTTGGATTTGAAGCTGTAGGGGTTTAGGGTTCAGGGTTTCAGGGTGCAGCCTAGACCCTTTTCATGGGTTTAGGGCTGTAGAGTTTCGACAGGGAGTTTCGAAGCACTGTGCAGTGATTGAACTGACAAGTGGGATTGGGACTCAATGAAGCCTGAAATTAATTGAGCTGATGAGTATGTAAATGTGTATCCATACGTACATATGTATAGGTGTAGGAATATATATATATATATATATAAACAAAACATATACATTTACATATCTATATACATATATATATATATATATGCATACATATATGAATTATGTAGAGCTACATGCAGTGTGTACGTACATACATACATGCATATATGCATAAGTACACGCACACACATATCTATATATATATATATACACATATACATACACATTTTTTCTTTGGGACTCAACGATCCCTGAATGATGTTGATCTGCTCCGCACTACGCATGTAGTCCCCAAAGTTTCTCCCCCCCCCCCCGCCCTCGCAACATGCGCCGCGCCAGGCCTACGCGGCCAAGGCACGCAATGACGGCTCTTGTGGCCGGTGGCTCTGGTTTAGTGTTTTGAGGTTCTGCGGTTTAGGGTTTAGGGTTTAAGGTTTAGGGCCGTACAACATTTATGGGAATACTAGAGCGACGGAAGTTAGAAGCACCGAAAAAGAAAAGCTATGATCTTTGTCTCGTCAGCTTGATAGACAAGGATTTTTGTTTTTTTTTCTCTCTCTCTCTCTCTCTCTCTTCCCCCACAGAAGTTCCCAAAGTTAGAACAGCCCCTTTAGTAGGACGACCCCTTCAACGCCGCACCTGGGACCAGACCAAAGCACCCAAGAGGAAGTCCTTACAGACTGTCCAAGCCCCCAGTGTTTAGGGTTTAGGGTTTAGGGTTTAGGGTTTAGGGTTTAGGGTTTAGGGTTTAGGGTCTACAGGGGACCGGGGACTCTTTACGTTTATTGAAACCTGCGTCCTTAGGGATATGCGTCGCTCCCTTTTGTTGCAGCTGAAGCGTCAGGGTTCAGGGTTTGTGCTAGACCCGCAACCCTAAACCCCAAACCCTAAACCCTTCATGAATCATGGTCCCTCTGGGTATGGGTGTAGGGTTTAGCGCTTAGGGGTTTGGGATGCGTGGTAGGTTGCGGTGTTCTTGGTCACGAATTGTTCCTCCAAAAACCCTCAGCCACATTACGCCCACAACCGTGGACTGTGTTCAGGCCTTTAGGCGAAACCTTGCACCCCCCTAAATCCTAAACCCTAAACCCGAAACCCTAAACCCTAAACCCTAAACCCTAAACCCTAAACCCTAAACCCCACCTCTGCCCCCCCCCTCCCCTCCCAACAATACCATCGCCCTTTCTCTCGGGAGGGCTGCAAAATTGCAGACCGAGCCGGTGTGATCTCGAAGAGCAGCGCCCCTTGACTTACCATTCTTAGTAGCAGAGTAGGTGGCCTTTAACCTTTTTGGGGGCATTAAAACCCTATAGAAACCTTTAACCCTTGGGTATTAGCAGTCCTGCAAAATCCCAAAGGTTAGCCTCTAAATTCCCCCGGGTTACTGGACAAACTAAGCATGTCCGAAGCGCTGGGCTCGCAATTCTGAGCCGGGCTTTGGGAAAGCTTTCTTTGGCAGGTGCATTCAGAGTTCAGGATTTAGGTGGAACACCTGACCGAAACCCTACCACATTAGCAGGTCACGCCCCCTAAGTTGCAGGGTCTAAACCCTAGACCCTTAACCCTGAGACACTATAAGCCCAAACCCCAAAACCCCCCAAAACCCCCTAAATCCCCTAAACCCTAAGCCCCGGAACCCCCCTAAACCTTCACGTGCGGAGTTCTCAAGTCGGTTCGCTGAGGTCTTGTTCTCCATCGAGCCGCCCACGGCGGACTTTCCGAAGTGCAAGGACAAGGTGGGAACCAGCTGTCGGGTTCCCTGCGCCGAAGCCCTAAACCCTAAACCCTAAACCCTAAACCCTAACTTTAAACCCGAAACCCTAAACCCCAAGCCTCTTCAGACTCTAAGCATACGGTCAGGGCTTCGAAGTGCCCTAGCCCCAAGACCTTGAAGACCCGAAGCCCCAAGCCCCAAACCCCTCCCACCCCCCCGCCCCCAAGTTTGGGAGGTTCATGGTACTAATTAACCACTTCTAACTCTACTTAGGGTTTGGGGTTTGGGGTTTAGGGTTTAGGGTTTAGGGTTTAGGGTTTAGGGTTAGAACTGTACTTAGAACCATCTTGGGGCACTTAAGGGGCTTATAAGTGGGTTATAAGTACAGTTATACTTGGTTACTAAGTGCCATGAACCTCCCAGCAAGTTGGGGAGGTGATCATCTCGTGGGTTGGGCGGCTGCTGGACAAGGGCAAGGACCGGCTCTGGTGAGGTGTTTCGGTCTGAGGGGGCTGAGAGGGTTTCGCTTTTGGAGCATCGAGGGTTTTTTGGGTTTAGGGTTTGGAGTTCAGGTCTTAGGGCTGTGTAAGGTTTAGGGTTGGGGTTCTCAGCTTGCAGGGTTTAGGGGCTAAGTGGGCAGAGGCTTCACAGTCTTTCCGCGGTTCTCGATGAACCCTAAACCCTAAACCCTAAACTCGAAACCCTAAACCCTAAATCCTAACCACGAACATCCTCTTTAGGACTCCTTTAGTGCAGGAGCCAGAAGAGCTCCCCATCTGCACTGCACCGCCAAAACGGATCCTGATTTTGCAACCCCGCCTAAACCCTCCAAACCCCTCAGCCCTCATCAACCCTCAAACCCTAGACCCTCCCAACCCGCAAGTCCCCTGTTCCAGCCCAGACCCCGGGAGGATCCATAGAGCTCTCAAATAGTGCCCTATACGATTCTTGGGTCACCCTAAAACCCTAAACCCTAAACCCTAAACCTTGGGAGGCTGCTGCCAAACCTGCAGGTCTAAGGGATACACTTGTCAAAGCGGCCTGGGTGCATGAGGTGCAGTATCCACAGATATCTTTGTGTGCCCAGCCCTTGACGGCGCAACTGTTGGTTTTTTCGCACGTGATTCGTGCAGTGTTTTTGGCGTGTCAATGCCCATGGAAGCCCAGAGCGATGTTTGCTTTGCGTTGGCTTGGGGTCCCATGCAAGGTGCCCGCACTGACCATGCGACCCCAGTATCACCATGTTGGAGAGGTTTGTCAGAATTTATCTAGGTTATTCACCGGTCGGAAGTATCGGCAAGTTCTCAAACAGGGGTATACAGTTGTACAGAAACCGGTGGCTGCACAGATTCCCTTCCGGTCCCCTCGTGAGATCTTTAATGCTCAAAGGCGAGCCCACAGGCAGGCACGCTAGGCTACGAGCTGCTAGTTCCGTTTCTGTTACGTAGTCGGTTCCCAAGTGGTTGCTTCGGAACTGTCCGCAAGGATGCATGCATAAACCCTAAACCCTAAACCCTAAACCCTAAACCCTAAACCCTAAACCCTAAAGCCTAAACCCTTGAGTCTACTTTTGGGTGGAGGACATCTGCGAGAAGGCCAAGGCCGCCGGCGTGACCCTCATCGATGTGACCGCGGTGCCGCGCATCACCATCGCGCCCCGCGGCTTAGGGTTTAGGGTTTAGGGTTTAGGGTTTAGGGTTTAGGGTTTAGGGTTTAGGGTTTAGGGTTTAGGGTTTAGGGTTTAGGGTTTAGGTTTTAGGGTTTATGGTCTAGGGTTTAGGGTTTAGGGTTTAGGGCTTAGGGTTTAGGGTTTAGGGTTTAGGGTTTCGGGTTTAGGCCTGCTTTAGAGCCTGCAGAGCCTTTCCCATGGAGGGTTAGTTTATGGTTCAGGACGTTTAGGGCCTTTAGGGGACAACCCTTTCCCTTAATTTGCTGCAAGCATGTGAAGTAGGGCAAATATTTCTGTTTTTGGTGAGTGTATATAAGGTTCCTTTTTAATATTGTTGCGTGTTTATACTGGGTGTCCTTTTGGGGATACAAGAAATATAAACCCTACTTCAATGTAGGGTCGGCGAGTTTATCCACAGCCCGGGGAGCCACGGCTTCGGAGGCCCCGAAGCCCAAGATTCCAAACCCAGCAACCCTAAAATCCGACTTCAAAGGTTTTAGTTTGCTTTTTTGGGAGGGGTGGGTTGGGTTGCAGAGTTTAGGGTTTTAGGGTGTTTGGGGGTTTTGGGGGGCTATTTAGGGTTTGGGGTTTTAGGGTTTGGGGGTGGGGTTTGGGGGTTTAGGGATGTGAGGCTCCACTCGAAGTCAAACAGACCCAAAAGGCCCAAAAGCCCTTGAACCCTACGAGCCCTGAACGTATATATAA